ATCGCCGTTCGGAGTCGGCGTAAAACTGTAGGTCCCTCCGCTTTGTGTGACAACATCAAGGCGCACGCCACAAGTCGGAGGAGAAGCTCGGCCAAACACTAACATATGTGTAAGCGCCAATCTATTGTTATTATTATTATTATTAATCTATTTAAAAAATCATTTACAGTTTTATAGGAAATTGCCTTATTTACAATATATGTCCAAGCTGTGTGCAACTGACGATACAAACATATATTCAGGCTTATAAGCCTGTAATTAAACATTTTTCTACATTTAATTTGAAATAGTATGCACGAACGGATTAAAAGTAGTAAATAATTAGTACTTTTTCTACTACTTTAAAATGCGTGACCGGAATAGACCTGCCGAAAAAGTGAGGTTAAGTTACTGACAACACCTTTTTATTATTACACCATGATTTCTACCATGAAAAAGCTTCTCTTAAAATCCATTTGCCTTTTGAAGGCTTAAAACTTTTGTGGAACTACATTAAGACCCACACCACAAATTGGAGGCGGTTCGGCCAAACACTTAGTGTAACCGTCAAAATAACTATTATTATTAATCTTCGGATATCTGGCTTACAAAATCAGCTTGTTTGCGACATTTTTAGAAAGATCAGTAAAATGACATCTTTGCAGGGAAAGTCAGCAACCGTATTTATGGCGAGAGACAACTTATCATCCTCTAAGAGAAAATTAAATTTCAGGATTATCTGTGTGGAAAATACAACTAAATGCTTGTCTCTGAACGAGTTTTGGTTAGTGTTAGGAGTGAATACCATGAAGCAGCTAAAACGGCTATCTCATCTTTGCTTCCCTTTGTCTCAACGTAACGCTGAGAAACAAGGGTTTACAATTATGACAAAAATTCAGGTCGAAGTTGGATGCTACGCCAGAAATGCGCATATAGCTAGCTTTCAGACGTAATATCGAACTATAAGGCAATCATTAGTAAAACAATGAAACGATTTCATTCTTTACATTCAAAGTTGAAGTATGTTTGCTATTTCTAGTAAATGTTTTTATTCATATATAACTTGCAGTGCCCTTGATTTTTAGAACAGAAATGTATTTAGTGTGGGTTCCATTATCTTAAAAGTTTGGGAACTCCTGGTCTAGAAAACATAAATATTGCGAAGAGCTCGCTCCAAGTAAATGAGCCAAGTTGAAATCGTTAAAAAAAGCTTAAGAACTAGAGAGTCCGGGGAAAGGATAAGTTGGGGAAAGGTGTTAGAGTCAGCAGAGCATGCGATGAACTCTACAGTATGTATGTACATAAAGCAACGAAGGAACAAGATTGAACTTGTTCAATTTTCTGTATGATAATCTTATATTCACATGAGTCTTAAATTTTTTTAGATGCTCACCTCCAAAGCTGCCGCTGTATTCGGATCATGATCATTTTCGACTGCTTCTATCTGTCGAAAGATTTCCGAACTGATGCCCGACACCTTGCGAAAATCACCCTGCAGCAAAACGGGCTCTTTGCCTCCAGTTCGTTGCTGTTGCTGCTGGTGTTGCTGTTGATGATGTTGCGGCTGTTGTTGTTGCTGGTTGCCCAACGATTGCATCTGATTCGCCGGCAATGGACCCGGAGGCGCACGACCAGGGCTGGCGGTAACATCAGGAACTGATCTTCCATTTTCCTGAAAGAATGAAAAAAAGTAAAAAATTTTATTAATATCGTCGGCGGTGAGTTCTAATACAAATCAGAAACTAAAATGGCGAATAATGATCATTGAATACCCCCCCGGTCATAATTTTTTGAAGTGAAGCTTCTTCAGCGGCGGTTGGTTGGTTGAGATTAAATTAGCAAATGCAACGGGAATGATACACACGGAAATGGTTGGAACGGAAATGGTTGCAAAGGAAACAAGTGATTCTTAAATGTATTCACACGGTATTAATTTAACAAAAATGTGCTAACAAGTGGTCTAAGAATAAGATTTAGATTAAGACCAATGCAAGAATGAAAGTAAAGGTAAAACCGTACATAGATGAATACAAACATAAAAACAATAACAAAGATGTGTAAAGATAAAGGCAAAAATGAAGGTCAAGGCCAATTTAAACACTTTACTTTTATAAGGGCAAAGGCGAAGGGGAATATGTAGATGAAGAAAATAAAAACATAAAAAAAGTATAACAAAGACCGGTGAAGAAAGATTAAGATGATCCTACATCTGTCATCTGTGTCAAATATAGGTAACTACAAATTGCAAATATATAGTTATTTTGTGTCACTTGTGATTGTGATTGCAATAATATTATTCCTTTCTTTTCATCTGTCTCCCTGAACTAATTTTCTACTACCTATATGTTTAATTGTGCTTATGATTATTTTAATTTAATTTAATTTAATTTGTATTTCAGTCATGAAATAAAATATTAAGTTTATGTACTTTAAAAAGATTCTTATCTTATACGGTTTACAAACGGGCTCGCTTATTTGCATAAACAGCCTTTATTTGCTTTAAAGCTGTGAAAGACGGCAAAGCTTATGCATATAATCTGTTATGCGGACTTTTTATTAAAATTCAGCTCTAAAAATTTAAATTAACTAATAGTAAAATAAAATTGTGATATAAAATAAAGCAAATGAAAATAAAATAAACAAAAAAATATTTCGCAATCGCTCTAACGGCCCGTCTCCACAGGCAAAAGTTTTTGCCTACCAACCGTCATTTTTATTGCCTGATAAAAATTTTATCAGCGGCAATATTTGTGCGTGGGCATTTTTTATCTTGATAAAAGCATTTATAAGATGGCAATTTTTGCCGGATTTCATTAATTAAAAAGTTTAAAAATATGCTATTTCACACCCAAGCAAATAATAACACATATTTTAATAGAAAACAGTTCAATTTTTGCTTTTATATTGAAATATCGATAATGTTGTCTCCACGAAGCTATCGCGCAAATGAAAATGTAGCTGTCAAAGTACCAAATTGCTGGCAATATTTATCAAGATAAAAGCTCAGATAATTATTGCTTGCCAAGAGCAATATGCGGTCTCCATGGGCAAAATTTTGCCTGATAACATTATCAAGATAAAAACTTTTGCCTGTGGAGACAGCAAGTAACCGAGGATCGAACCTGATAGCTACAGGCACGTAGCCCGTAACTCTTACCACTCGGCTACCGCGGACGCGGAACTCGTGTGCTTTGTTTGCTTACTTGTACAAAAGACAATAGCTGGCCGTTTTTACCAGTGTTGTCAACGAAAACTGCCCGGATCCGAGATAACTCCCAAAAATTTCGTGCATTTGTTCGGCTGCTTATGTGCATTTTAAAGAGGAAAATGCATGAGTCAAAGCAATTAAAGGCTGTTTATGAAAATAAGCGAGCCCGTTTGTCAACGGTATTAAGTCATGCATTTTCCTCTTTAAAATGCACATAAGCAGCCGAACAAATGCACGAAATTTTTGGTATAAACTCGGATCCGGAACGAATTTTTCCTAATAAACAATCGTGGTACAAAGCTCAATAAAAATATTAAAAATAAAAACGAAATAAATGAAAATTCTACAGGCCGTGGGACTCGAACCTGCGACCCTGCTCGTTAATCTGCAATGCTTCCCTCTGTCAGGGCAAAATTATTATACGCAATCGCGTTCAAATAAAAAAATAATGGTAATTATAAAGAGAAGGATACTCTCAATTTGGGAACTATTTCGGGAATTTAGAGATCTTCGGGATTGTCGGGACTAAATCAGGACTTTCAAGACTAACTCGGGATTGTTGGGACTAAATCAGGATTTTCAAGACTATTTCGGGAATAACGATATTTTTGTCTACATAGTAATCGATATTGTTATCAATATATTTATCGATACTGTTATTGATATATTTTCCAACATATTCATGGATACTGTTATTGGTACTGAAACTAGAGATGGGCACGGGCCGGGCTTTTGGCAGGAATATTTGCTGTCAGCACGAAGTCGTGCGTGCATGGACGTTCAGTAAAATTTCATAAAAGTACGAATAAGCACGAAAAAGCCCGTTGCCAATACTACAAATTTAGATAGGCTTTTGTTTTTATACAAAAAAAAAATAGTACATATTAAAACTCTTTTGATAAAAGAAAAACAAAAAAATAAATATTTGGAAACCGATAGAAAAAATAACATACGTAGTAGTTTTGTTTACATATCTGTACATAAAATACCTTCTACTTTTTCTACTTCCCAGAAAATATATTATAAAAATTTTTGATGTAATTGATTCGCTTAAGTAAATATACATACATTAACACAAAATTAAAAATATGTGCATATGTATGCATACAATAAAAGTTGGCTCTTTATTTCCGGGCTGGAACGAGTCCCGTCGTGCCGGGCCCACTGATATTCTTAACGTGCGGGCCCGTGCGTGTTTTTGAAAGTTGATTTTGCACTCGTGCCGGGCCGGGCCTGAAAATTTAGGCCCGTGCCCATTTATCGAAATTGTTATCGATATAAGAATAGATATTGTTAACAATATTTTTATCGATATAATAATCCATCTTGTTACCGATATATTTGTCGATTTTGTATTCTTTATATTTCTCGATATATTTAACGAAATTGTTATCGGTATATTTATCGATATAATAATCACCACATGACTTGACTTCACATGAAATGACATCATATGACATGGCAACACATGACATCACATGGCACGACATCACATGGCATGACATCACATGATATGACAGCAGATGGCATGACATCCTGTCTTACCACAGCATGTCACATCACATTAAATCACATTGCATTTCATCGTTTCACAATGCCTGACACCACACCACACTATATCTTATCACATCATCAAGGTGAGTATGTAGATGAAGAAAAGGATAAAATCAAAGATAAAGTCCAAAGGAAATTCAAACACTTTACTTGTATAAGGATAAAGGGGATGGGAAATATATACTATATATGAAAGATCAAATAAAGATGCAAAGACAAAGATCTGGATAAAGGGGGGTAGAGATAAACGAAAACAGATGAAAATAAATGTAATTATAACGAAAAGGGTAGAGCAAGGGATAAAGATAGAAAAGAGGTAAAATATAAGCTCAAGCTTTTAGCATTATACCAACTATCCTCTCGTTTTATTCAGAATTTCAAACCAATGAAATACATATGTACATTAGACTGCATCACTAAAGAAAGTTGCGATTTTTCCGCCGGGATTACAAAAGTTATTATATTTTAAGACGTTCACCAAAATATTTGGGAAAATATTAAGATTTAAGTGAGCTGGACCGATTTTAAAATACCTCCAAAAATGGAGTTTTTTATGAATAAAAATAGTTTCGTAAAGAACTTTTTGAAAAAAGTCCCCTTAGATGACAAAACAGATTAAGCTTAAAATATCTGCATACAAATATTTAAAAAACTTTTCAACGGAATCGTAAGAATGAGATTTTTGATGCTGTTTTTTTTACTTTTTTCAGAGACTGATTTACGAAAAACTTGAATAACTGGGCCAAAACTCTTCTGATTTAGACTTATGGGATCACAGTAGAAAGGTATTTTCACACTGTTTTTATTTCTGTCAAAAAAAAATCATTCGTGTCCCAATTTTTTTTTTCAAAAACCAACACATCTTAATTCAACTTTGAATGACGTTCGTTCATCCTACCTTTTCTTTCTAAAAAGGGTGAGAAAATACCTTTCGACCAACACCCCTTATGTCTAAATCAGAAGAGTTTAGGCTCAGTTATTCAAGTTTTCCTTATACCAATCTTTGAAAAAAGTTAAAAAAACAGCATCAAAAATCTCATTACGATTCCGTTCAAATTTTTTTTTTTTTTTAATATTTTTATGCAAATTTTTTAAGCTTAAACCGTTTTGTCATTTGAGGGGAATTTTCAAAAAAAAATTTTAAGAAACTGTTTTTATTCATAAAAAACTCCATTTTTGGAGGTATGTATTTTGAAATTGGTTCTTAATTAAATCTTAATATTTTTTCGAAATATTTTGGTGGACGTCTTAAAATATAATAGATTTTATAATTCCAATGGAAAAATAGTACCGATTTTTTTTTTTGCATGGGGAGTGATGCAATCTAATGTACATATGTATATCTATTGATTATGAGACAAGCTGAATATGTAACGTAAGATTCACTTTTCCAGTGTGGCTCAGGCGGACCCCCTTTTTAAATAAACATTTTAGACTACACTCCTTTACCTTCAAATTAGAAACACTGGTGTGTAAAACTGCTGACATTTTCTTGCTTCTGTTTTTATTGTTACTTACTACTGCACTCGTACATAATACACTTACTTAATTAACGTTAGAATAGCTGTTAAAACATACTTTAGGTTCACTGGGGTGGTCCAAAAATGCAGGTGAAAAAGTAAAGGCGGAACTTTAATGCTCTCAGCCCCTACGATTGTTCTATTCCGAAAAAAATTATAACCCTGTTTTTTTTTATTTTGAAATCAAAAAATATTCAAAGATCTTTCAAAGCGCTCCATGTATTTTATATGGAAAACAAATTTTTCGTAGAAATAGCATGGAATTCTTGAAAATCAATCAGCCATATAATGAGTTTCATTTTCCCCGAACCGGTTCACTTTTCACTTTTGGTTTCCCTGTATTTACCATGGGCGGAATAAAAATTGTCAGGTGAGTTTCTTTTCGGGCGA